TGACTGGATGTCAGTGAGAATCTATTTTCATTCCTATTTACATTCTCATTGTAAATATAAAAGTATTTACATATACCTATTTACATTCTCACTGACATCCTGTCACACTTTTAACTTCTTTCATTCTGTGGAGATCTAAGAACAACAGAGATATCACAATTACTCAAAGAACCTGGCCTGAGAGAAAGAAATTAATGATCAAAATTGAGTTCATAGACCCTAGTGTACAAAATTACTTAAGTATCCAGCTCCTATTTAGGCATCAGCTCCAACTGCTTTCAGTTAAATGAATGAGAGTGGACATCTACAGGTCTGCATATGGTGTGGTAGATGTTATGACCAGGAAGTTTCCAAGTGTAACCTGCCAAACCAGTTCATCACACGCACTACAAATCCAGAAATACAGTGGTAAAGACACTCCAAAGCTGTCCCTCTAAGCTGCTGTCAAGCAGAAACTGGTCAGCATCTTACCTTTGGCTGCAGAGCAGTGCCTTTGAGTTGGCTTTGAGTATCTTCACTGGTTCCTGTGTTTGGAGGAGGCGAGTGGAAGCAAATGGGTGTGGCAAGTTGCTGCTGCTTTGTAGGCATTCTTTAAAATAGGAGTTAGGTGCCTAAAAACCATTATGGATCTGGTCACTAGCTCAAGCTATTTGCATGGAAACTTCATTATGTCACAGACAGAAAAGGTTTATTGCTGCATTTAATAATGAATTCCATAAAGAAGCCCTAGCCTAACATGACAGGGGAAGTTATAATTAACTTTATAGGAAGTTGTATATAGATTATGATAATATGTTAACTCCTTTCCAAGATTTCTCAAAGTCAGCTTAAATATATTAGGGCAAATCTGCCTTCATTTACCCCATTAACTATAACAGAATTGCGTAGATGTAACTGTGATAGAAGACTCTGGGTCTAAAATTGTAATTTTAATGCATTGTTTAGAAGCTGCTGAGAGTCAGACCTAAAATAAAACAATTATTTTATTTATTTATTTTGATTTTCATAATATTTCCCTTATATAAAAAATCCCTACTCTAGGTACATTTCTAAATTTAATGTTATAGTATTTCAAGATAAAAATCTAAACACAGTTGAGTCTGTTGTCGATTTGAGGTCCAAAACTATACCTGAATTTAGATACAGATACTCTTCAATGTTTGAGAGGTATAGGTTGTAGCTGTGTTGGTCTAAGGACATATGCAGACAAGGTTCTTTGGGTAAATCCGATATCTTTTATTAGACCAACTGAACTAGTTGGAAAAATTCTTCTTTGCAAGTTTTTGGGTACAAAAACAGACACACTGCAAACACTTCAGCCTGATAAAAGGCGTTTGCATCCGAAAGCTTGCAAAGAAGAATTTTTCCAACTTGTTTAGTTGGTCTAATAAAAGATATTGGATTTACCCAGAGAAACTTGTCTGCCTGATACAGATACCCAGTTCTTATTTATCCCTCCAGGTTTGGTGAAAAACAACCTGGTAGGCTGTATAATATGAACTGGTATACAGACTTGAACCTGTGCATGGCACAGCTGCCACAGGTATGAATCCCTCATTAACATAGGTGGCCTCTCTCTGGGCAATAAAATGAGGGAGATTTGTACATAAATAATTGAGGATCAGTCTGAGATGGAGATACAACCAATACAACTTTCTTATTGTAGAGCAGGTTAATAAGAAGGGGAAAATCACAGCCATCATTGAACTGTAGTTAACGTTTAGTTATTCTGAGCCCAAGCACTTTGGTACCTGGGCAATAAGGACCGAGATCTTAAGCTTCACCTGATGCTGTATGGGAAACTAGAGTACAGAGTTGAGGACAGCCTTGATGAGAATCGTAGTAGCCAGTGAATGTGGCTGCAGGCATGTACTGCAATGTTCTATCCTGCTTTGATTTTTCGGAGGGCTGATCCCAGAAATGTTTCAGGAGTTTTCAGTTTTGGAAAAAAAAGAACCCCTTAAACGAGTTTTAAGCAAAACTGATGTCTGGTGGTGATATCTGAAATTGAACGGGCAAGCTGATGTTTTTGAGCTGAGTCTCTGTGAAATGGGTCCTGATCTGGCAAAACTCTTTACTATGTACTCGATTTTAAGCATATGATTTGTTCCATTGAGGTTAACTTCCAGTGAAGTTAAAGTTAAGCCAAAGCTGTAGAACTTTCCCGTTTGGGGTCATTAGTGTTTTGCCGGAGAAATGAGTACAAGATCTGAGACCCTTTCTGTTTAAAAATGGGCAGCTACATTCATCTTTGTTACTTTGAGAAACCTGTTTTGTCAGTGTCTGTACTGCCAACATACAATGTCATAGACAGAAAATAATAACCCATATGAAATCTTTAGAAGCACCTAGACAGCTGAATAGGAGGGTAATATTCCGATTGGCATTCTGATTATTGTACCAGAGCACTGAAAGAGACAGGCATCCTTAATATTATCAATTACGGCAGAGTATTATCTGAAATATTCAAAGAACAGCTGTGTGGTGTTTCAGCTATTTGCAATCTAGATAATGTCACCATAGATAGATTTATTTCTGCTTTCCTGAAGAACATTATAGTTAAATGATGCCTTGCTAACTACAGCCTCAGGGCTGAGCCCGTACGCTTTACCTGAGATGTGATTGCAATTTTTGACAGGGAGACTAATGCATGTTTTATTGTTGTGTATTTAAATTTGATTTGAGGATACAGGGAGTGAGCATTTTATTAAAAAAAGGAAGGGAGAATAACTATTTAAAATATTGTCTGCTGCTCCTCAGAGGTAGGGATAAGAAAAGAAAGCCAGGAAGATTCATGCAGAAGATTTTGTTTTCTCTGGTTTCAACAGAAATTTTGAATATAATATAATATAATATAATATAATATAATATAATATTCTTGATTAAGCAAAAGCATCTAACCTGTGTGTAAATCTATCTCAGTTAAGCAAATCATTTAGGAATGAGTTTAAGTACTAAATCAGAACTATATATTGTTTGCTATGAAGACTGCAGTTCACAGTGTCCATCTCTCCAAACAGTTAATAGTATGATAAAATGGCATTTACAATGCTAACCATTTGCTGTGTATTTATTTGCTGTTATATTATTTTGAGTAACAGTCACAAGTCCCTTTTAACTCCCATGTAAATTTGGAAGTGTCTGTATTATTTGAAAATGTCACTGGTATAAGTATTGTATGACTACAGAGAGAGAGTGTTTGGCATAGGCAGCTCGGAAATGCACATTCTTTTTCTGACTGCCATTAATTCTCCCTGACCTTGGCAAATCATGATTCTGTGCCTCTGTTTCTCCAGCTATGGAATAAGGGTAATAATTATATTTGCAGAGTGCTTCAAGGTCCATGGATACAGGTGCTATATAAGTGGAAAGTATTTCCCTTATTAGAGTTAAAGAGAACCATTAGATTTCTTGGAGGGTGAAGATTTGATATTTATATTGAATCCTATTATCTTCTAGTAATCCAACCAAAAAAATTATGATCCAGGATTTTGTGTTCTAAAACCAGGTGCTTATTAGACAGAATGGGCTTATAAAATACATATATACATAAATAAATACATATGTAGTTCATAAGGAATTGCTTGGTGTTTCTGTATTTATAAGAGGGTCTCCATCTACTGTTGTGGAAGTTACCAGCATCCTTCTGAATCCCAAAGAAACTAATTATGTGTATCAGGGCTGTCCAACCCAGAGGCCACACCAGTAAGGGCTGTATAGACAGACTCGCCCCACTTCACTGCAGTGCCCTGCTGTATGAACTCCCACTGCAACGCACCTCTGTACGATTCACGTTCCCTGCTGCAATGCACAGCCATGTGATACTACACCACCACCACTCACCATTTCACTGTGCAGGAGCCATTCCCTCCCAGCATTGCCACACTGCCCTATCCCTGGGGTGAAGGCAGGAGGTAGCAGCCAAAGGAAGGAGGGGGTGACTAGGTGAAAGCCCAGAGGCTGCGCATTAACCCCTTGTAGGCTGCATGCAGACTGTGGGCTGCCAGTTGGACAGCCCTGATATATAGTTATAGTTATTAAATGCTGTTGTTGGGAATCCACCTGTGTTCAGGTAATTTCCTTAAAGCCTTAATGTTATGTAGAGAACTATACATTATACAAAGTATATTAGTCCAAAATATAAACTAATAATGAGTCAAAATATGAGCCAATATAATAATGATCTTGACTGAATAAACATCAAAGTCTTTGGAAGTTTGGTTCTGAGCAGCTCCTTCAGCATAGTTTATTAAGTAAATCTAGACTGGAGATTTTAATCAAGTGCCGTCTATTGCAATATTTTTGCATTTCTGCTCCCAGATAGGCAGAAAATAAAACCGAATAGTCATACCTGTGATAATTTGCAATTTCTGCTTCCAGTTGCAAATGATTTCAGAAATGAAAAGATGGGGGTGGGGGAGGAAAAGTAAAGAATTAATATATTCCAATTACCTTGGTTTGGTTTCTGTTTACTTTAGAGTACAAGGTCTCATTTTCCTTCTGTTCCCAGCCATCACACTGAAAAACATATGGAAGCAAAACTCAAAGAATAAAACTCAGGCTTTTTTCAGTAGATGTACATTTCTTGTAGGTTCTGTAATAATAAAAATAGAATTTTTTTCACGTTGCAAGATAGAGACAGTTTCAACTCTGGTGGAACCAGACATGTTCTATTGAAGTAAATGGAGTTTATACCTGTAGCTCTTTATCAAGCACTGTCATTATTTTGGCTTTATAATAACTAACAGATTTCATCTCCTACACCTTATGTGTCTCTCCAGACTTGGAAACATTTGATTCCCTCTTATGATTTCATGAATAAAAGCTGAGTGTTTGCTTTATTCTTTGAGAGCAATAGTGAAAGAATGGAACTGCAACTTCTGTTATGTGTTCTATTTCTGTTCCACTTTCTAGGATTCTCTCAGTCCTTTAAGGTAAAGTAACCTTTAGCAGTTATAGAGCAAAAGGAGTACTAAATGGTTTTTCATTTTGTGGTACAAATGGATATTAAGTATACTACACTGTGTGGACAGCAAGATCATCTAAAACTGAAGATGTTCATTGAAAATACATTACAGTCTGAGCACTACAATGAAGAGAGCTCTGTAGGTACAGACAGAAGTGACAATTTTCACCCAATCTGGCCCCTGAAAGTACTCTACAACCATAACCAAGCACTGCAGAGCACTTCAGAAGAACCCAATCCCATAAAAAGCTGAACCCTCATTCCATGAGTGTTCAGAAAAAGGTACTCCAATACAGAGCGTCTTCACTAACTTATGTCTGCACTGCCTCCCAGCCTCAGTGTTGTTTTCAGAATGGGAGAGGGGAATGGGAGTGGAGGGAGTTCAGTCTGGGGGGTTTTCAGCCAGCACTGAAGCTTGGGGTGGGTATATTGGAACCCCCTTCCCCCTGAAGTGGAGGGCCTGTAATCTACCTGACCCACACTCCAGCTGGGGAATCCCCAAAACAAGCTCCCTTCACTCTCTTTCCCCCTCCCATTCTGAAAACAGAGCTGGGGCTGGGAAAGAGGAGCTGCAGGCTGGCAGCTATCAGCTTTATTCTCCAAACCCCTGGACCCAACACTGAACTTGTGTTGCATCCAGGGGATCACTGTAACTCATAGCGCTTCCTGTAAAGTGCTATGTGTTACAGCAGGGATCTTATCTTCTGTCTGTACCCAATGCAATACATTACTTGACCATGTCCTTGAATCTTCATGTTGTGGATAAAATCAGTAGTGAAGAGAGACAGGAACAGGATTAGAATATTATTGTAAATCACCAGTACAGGAGAAATCATTCTTAATTACTTTGCAGAGTATCTGTGATATATTAAAGCATCCTTATTCAGCAAAGCACTTAAATCAGTGCTTAAATTAAGAACAAGTCCTATGCTTGGATTCAAACATAATTTTCAGCTATTTGCTGAATCACAGAATTTCTCCATTACTATACTATGAATAAGAAGATGAAAATGGGTATCAAAATAATGGCTAACTTGTCTACTCAAAGGTACATTCTCAAGCATATAGAATGAGCTGTTGGGTTGGGATTTGCACATGGCTTTCTGTATATTCTAGTTTGTAAGTTCACCTCCAGATGTTTCCATTAGTATTTCATGTATTGCCAGATCCAACTGTTGGAACTTATATAAACTCTCAAAGGACTTAGGTGCATTTCTGAAGGATTTGCTCCTTAATAAATTATAATGTTTGACAGTATCCAAGTTAATAGAGGTTTAGTCGTACAAATTCCTTTGAAATTAAAGGGGAAATATATGGCTATCAAACTAGTTTACAAATCTTAGCTGGAATCCATCCTTATAATTAGTATTCACACAAGTCTCCTCTATATAAGAGAAGTACCATATAGGAGGTCTAGGAATATGAATTTAGGCCCTCAAAAGTATTTAAGTACCTAACCCCCATTGACTTCAGTGAGAATTTGGTGCATAAATACCTTTGAGGATCTCAGCCTCATTTCTTTGCCAATTGGTGATTATTACAAAAGTACCCTGTTGATTTGAATTGTTCTCCTTGGCAACCATACATTAATAAGGATGTATTAAATGTATTAAATTAGCACACTTAATCAATCATCAAGGTTTTTAAAGAAACACAAAGGCTTAACACTGAACTTAAATCTCAATGAGTTTTAATATGGGGCTTAATCATTATAACGTTCTAGCTTGGTGTGTCCTGCTGTTGTAGAATTTAATGTTTAATCTTCATTATGACTTCTGCTTGGGTTTATTACATCATGAAAAATGACATTTGGTCCACTTAACTGTTAAACCCACTTAGAATCTGAGCTCCCAAAGTTTATATGTAAAAGATGTTTGTTTTCCATCTGATGCATTCACTATTAGACATTTCTTTCATGGTTACTGAGTCACAGTTACAATGAGAAAACAGTTTAGATGCCTGGTTCAGACACCATAAGTTCACGTGTGAAAAGCCTGTGATTTCCCGACTCTGGCCATATGCTACTTTTTCCCCTGAAAGCTTTGAAAATCAATGGATCTTGATAGTGTAGCGCTCTCCTATCCAATGTGGACAATAAATTTAGAATCACTTTGTGAACAGAATGTTCCTTTTATAAAATACAGGATAAAAAGCAATTGAAGAAATCTTTTCTTTTCCTACTTTTACCTTTGGAGCCTGAAGGCTTTTGAATGATTGTTAGTCCTAATTGGAAATTGAGTCCCTTGCTTTTAAAAGTCTTTTCATAAAACTCTCTCCTAGTTCATTAAATCATTAAATGAATTTAGCAGGTATTAGTTTTGAGCTTTATTAATTGTGACTTGTTTTTCATTATGAGATAATTGTCAGTCACAAAACATAACTGCTGTATATATGAGCTGAAGCAAAAGTTTCCAGCAGGGAGTGGGAGGAGAAAGACCAAAAGGTCAATTGCATCAAAAACTTCTTTTAGTAAATTCTTGCTCTACATATTTAAGAATTCCAGGAGGATAACACTTCATTTTAGATGCACAGTGCAGTTTAAGCCTTTATTAAAATAATGGAACTTAGGAAGCAAATCAGTGAAGAACATAATGGGTGCATCTACATGTGCACTTTCCTGCAGTTGACTAATTGGCTCCACAGTAAAGTATCACTGTCTACACATGCACCTATATTAGGGCACAGTAAATCAAGTCTGTCACAATGCATGTATGGACGGTGACTAGGGCTGGCTGGAGCATAAGGGTGCTACTGTGTTGGGGTTGCCTGCTGGCTAGCCCCACACTATAGCATGTTCATGCCCCAGCCAGTCCCTCTGACACATGATGCCACCACCTGGAACCCAGGGCTGACCCTCCTCCCCACCCCCAGATCCCCTGCCATCACAGGGCTGTTCCACTCTGGTTTGAATTGCTGCGACCCTGGGTGCATATGTAAACACTGTGCCGGGGGGCAGCTGACTCCAGCATGAACTGCACCAGAGTTTATTGTGTCAGGGTAATTGCATGTGTAGATGCACCCACTGCCTTCATTTCTTAGGACTATCACTAAGTGATCTCTAGATCTATCTAAATTGGGAAATTTTTGTAACTCGTTTCAACACTATAGTCCAGCTACACTAATTTTTCAAGTAAGTTAGTTCTTCCAGAAGTCACAACACACAAAGAGCTGTGCAGATAGAACTTTAAGTCCTCTTTAGGAAGCTGGGGTGTTACAAACTAGAACAGGACCTATATTTAGGGACCACTTGGGGAGCTTCTGTAAGTTACCAACAGCCCCTCCTAATCAGAAAAAGGATGATGTAAAAGAGAGAGTTGTTGATGAGAGGTTGCTACTGTCTGGACACATCTGCCAGATAAAGGACAACAGCCTGCTAAAGCAGAAGACCCAGAGGCTGAGGAATTACCTAAACAATATAATAGTGGTGTGGCGTAGCTCTAGATATGCTACTTATTGGGCACGTCTACACATGCCTCTCTTAAGCAGGCTTAGCCTAAAATCGCCCTTTTTAAGGTGCATTAAGGGCATGTGTCTACACATGCGCACCCATAACGCACCTTAAAATTGGCAACTTAAGGCTATGTGAATCTAAATTTGATACCTGTGTAAAGTATCAATGGATGCACATTGTGTTAATGTGCATTAGTCCATCTGCATGTATACTAATGTGACTTAGATATTCGTGCCTAAATTTAATGTGCCTTAATGTGCATTAGCATGTCCACATGTAGATGCATGCCTAAATTGCCTTAATGTGCCTTAAGTAAAGGCGGACAAGGTTCTTTGGGTAATTCCAATATCTTTTATTAGACCAACTCAAATAATAAATATCTAATAAAAGATATCAGATTCACCCAAAGAACCCTGTCTGTCTATGTCCTTAGACCAACACAGCTACAACCTACACTCCTTAAGTAAAAGTGCATTAAGTTCAGGTGCACATAAATACACATGTAGACATGCCCACTGAAGCATAAGGCAGAACATGTTGGAGAGTTAACCCCCCCTCTACACATTGCATTTATCCTGTGATTATCACGTTTTCAAGGCCACCTTGAGGAAGCTAAATATGCATCGTTTTAAAGCTGATGTTGGCTGGCTAGTGAGTCTGGCTTAAACTTGATCTGTACTACAACTCCAGCTATTTTTAAAAGAACTGAGACCATTCCCTCAGTATAGACAGGGCCTTTACTGATATGCAGCCCTAGGGAATGTGAGATGATAACCCCAAGCCAGTGACTAATCTTTTTAACTTTTGTTCAGAAATAAGCTTTCCATATTTGGAGCCTGAATTATTGGTCAAAATGGTAGCTTTCTATGTATTCAGAGGAACAGAAATTCCAACCCCTATGTTTTCAAGCAATGCTGAGTCAGTGATAGTAGCCATTTGAAGGTGCAGGTTGTATATTGAAAATAGTTCTTCCAATGCCTGAAGAGCTTGAGATGTTAAAGATAAAACTCTTTTCTACGTTTTCTACATAATTAAAAAGCTCAATGCTGAGAATCAAAAGGAATGTCTATCCTCTGTTAGGGCTTTTTCTTAGAGATTGCATCACTGTATAATTTCTGTTCTCTGGCATTTTATTTGTTGTTTAATGGGCTACTATTGTAAAATATCACTCTATAGTGGTGCTTGAGTGTAGGTTTTTATTGCCTCTCACAGAGACACAAGTTTCAATTTCACCCTGGAAAATCTCCTATATAAATGGGCAATAGATCAGTAAATCAGATACAAATCATCAACGGTGGGGTAGGAAAATGGAGGTAGGCTAAAGCAGCACAGTTGTGTGTAG